GGCCTCCCCCCCCCCCAGGAGGCCGGGGGAGGCGCGGAGCAAATTTTCTCGCCCCGGAGGATGCGGGCGGCGGGACCGTGGCACATCTGGGCGTCCCGCCGCTCCGTCCTCGGGGGTGAGAAAAACCCCGTTCGTAACTGCGGATCCGACATAAGTCAGATCCGCATAACTCGGGGACTGCCTGTATTTCAGCTTCAACTCCATGCCGATGGTGGGGCTAGAATTGTCAGCCCCTGGGTACTGCAGGGCCATGGAGCCCTGAGCTGCCACTCCCTGAGCCCTGGACCACAGTGAGCAGCAGGAGCTGGTGCTGCTGGTCTCCTCCCAGTGGTCAGTTTTTCCCTCCACCCCCTTTATTTTAGTGACCATCACAGACAGGTCATAGGCGTCCATTAATTTTTTATTTATTGCCCATGATCTGTCTGTGACTTTTACTAAAAATAACCATGACAACAGCTTAACCTTACTAACGTGTGCCACATCAAACGGTGGCAAACTGGAGATACCATTTCCTAACCCCTTATAACTGGTATGTGTTCTAAGCTGGGCCACGGGAACTTGGGTTTCCCACCTCCTAGGTGACACTCTGACCACTGGACTGTAGAGTGAGTCTCGCTCTAGCCAAATGCATATTTAATTATGGATACCCATGGAAAGCTTCATCATGAGAGTTTGAGACAGATTCACTTTTACTAATCCGAATGGGTATATTACATAGATCGTGTGGTGCCCTCTGAAATTTTCCCCCGAGATGCACTATAATAAAAATTACTAAAACTAGAACAGAGAGAAGGAAGGAGGGGACATTAGAAAACTCACATGAAATATTCTTGATAATGACACCAGATCATTTAAAATGTGATCCTTTGTATGTTGAAGCAACATTTTGGTGCAGGTTGAACCTCTCTAATCCAGCACTCAGGATTCTGACAACACCCATGATGTGGCATGATTTTAATTAGCTATAGGTCCACTTATCCTGTGTGGGGCCAAATTTCCTGAGGCCTGGCAAAGTCCTGCCAGTCCTAGCGCTCAGTGTTCTGTGCTGTTGTTTCTCTCTCACCCAGTGGTGCTCAACCTTTTTTAATTTGCGACTCCCAGGACCAGGAACATTTTGGTTGAGCATAAAACAAACAAACACATTTTGTTGTGGCCCCTTTAATTTCAAGTGCTGGTCTTCTCCCCTGCCACTCCCCCCACCCCCGCTGCTTGTACATCGGGCACCGAGCTGGGAAAACAAAATGGTGGCCAGCCTAAAGGGGTCGCGACCCATGGGTTGCGCGCTGCTGCTCTAAGCTACCACCAGAAGTTTTCTGAGACCAAGAAGCAGCGGCAGTGGTGGTAATGCTGCTAAACATATGTCAATATCAGTACAGCAAAAGGTGAAATTGTAGCAGAAATTTGAAAAGGGCACATTGGTATGTGTCATCTACAGAGTATGATTTAAAGAAGCAAAAGAATGAAATCCTTAATTTTTTGTCGACAGTGACAGTAAAAAATGTATGTGTGTTCGTAGGACACTGAAGGAGGGATTTCTGACTTATTCTGAAATAGCACGTCCTCACTGATTGGAGCCTGCCTCAGACTTAGAGCCTCCAGAAGCTCCCTGGGTAGGGTATCAGGAGGATGGAGACTTCCTGTGGCTGCTTGGTCAGGCAAGCTGTGACGCGTGCTTACAGGGGCTCCTCTCTATAGCGTCTCACGTACCACTTCTCCCCTTGTGGGACACAAAAGGGACGCAGTGCACTCTGGTTGCCCTTGCAGACACCACAGCACCCACACCGTGGGCTAAGAGGGGAAGTTACGAGGAGGCAGAGAGGTGTCTGGACGCTCTGCTCCATGCACTACGCCATGCCCTTGATCACAGAGGTGAGGGAGGAGCACATGGCATCACATTAGCGCACCAGCTGGTCCCAGGTGGCCTTCCGTTGTTCCTGGTCAGCCTGGCACTCCTCCTTGTCGGTGGCCTGCTCCTGGCGCATTTCCTCAAGCTCCCAAATGAGGGACTGCAGGCAGGCCATCTGCTTCCATGTCAGGTCCTCGTGGGTTCTTTTCCTCCTGCGGATCCCAAGAATTGTGAAGGTGGTGGGGAGGTGCCAAGCTTACAACTGGTTCATCGGTGAAGAAAAGTGACAAGGGTAGTTATCCCAGGAAACTGTGTCTGAAGTCTAGCCCTGATCTCTGAGCCGACACTGAAGATCTCAGTTCAGATGATGGTGATTTGCTTCGAGCAAGGCCATATGCTGCCTAGACAGCAGGCACTTTCCCGCCGGGGCACAGATGTCGCAGGGGAGCACTGCAACACCCACAGTCCAGAGACAAGCAGGCATAAGAATGTGCTGGCCAGGCCAGGAGCCTGCAGGTGGGTGTGGGGGATGGGGCAGCTTGGCCTCCTTCTGTGTCCTGCATATGCTGGGTCCAGTGGTGTCCTGCAGAGAGAGAACTTCTATCCCTGGGTGGGGTGGGGGTTTGAGAGAGAGGGAGGGAGGGAGGGAGGGATGGACGGATGGACGCTACTTGTGAGAGACCAGGTTCTCCTCATCTTCTTCCCCCCAGCAGGTTCCCATGCATGGGATCAGTCTCCTCCACATCACCGCGCTTAATCAGGAGCAAATGCTGCCTGAGTGCGGGCCTGTGCCATGTGCGGCACTGCTGTGTGTTTCCATGACCCCAGCTTCCTTAGTGGGGGCTTGTCATGGAAGGAGTCCCACCATGTAGGCCAGAGTAAGGCAGGCCTCTCCAGGAACCTTGTGATAAGGAGTGACGGGTTCCTATGTGAGAGCGTCATGTTGCCTCTACTTCATCTACCTGGGAAATACCTACAGCAGAGACCCCAGATGTAACTCAAATGTACCTGGAGATAGCAGTTATTGTCGCATCACGTTGGAAGTGGAATTCAGGCATGTTTTTAGGTGAGTAAGTTATAGTTTAACTGTATTATCTATTTTTCATATTATTTTGTTTTATGCTTTATCTACTTATGTGCCAATACAGTAAAATTGTGTAACAGTACTATCACTGGCTACGTCTACACTGGCCCCTTTTCTGGAAGGGGCATGTAAATTTCACCAGTCGTCGTAGGGAAATCCGCGGGGGATTTAAATATCCCCCGCGGCATTTAAATAAAAATGTCCGCCGCTTTTTTCCGGCTTTTAAAAAAGCCGGAAAAGAGCGTCTACACTGGCCCCGATCCTCCGGAAAAAGCGCCCTTTTCCGGAGGCTCTTATTCCTACTTCAAAGTAGGAATAAGAGCCTCCGGAAAAGGGCACTTTTTCCGGAGGATCGGGGCCAGTCTAGACGCTCTTTTCCGGCTTTTTTAAAAGCCGGAAAAAAGCGGCGGACATTTTTATTTAAATGCCGCGGGGGATATTTAAATCCCCCGCGGATTTCCCTACGACGACTAGTGAAATTTACATGCCACTTCCGGAAGAGGGGCCAGTGTAGACGTAGCCAAAGT